TTATGAACTCCTAATACATACTTTCCATTCCCAAGACCTAGCAAAGCTAAGTATACCTGGAAATTTAAGGTATGAGATAGAAAGTGATCAGAGATACGGGTACAAGGTAGACTTTGAAAGAACTTACATGTGATATGAAGCAGGTAGGACCTTTTCCTTTGGGTAATGGAGAGCTATTGGAGTATTTTTGTTTAACTAGAGGAGCAGAATGATCAGCTTATTTTACATCTGATTTAAAGTAAGGTACCTTGTCAACTGTATGTAGCACAGATTCGAAGTGGGGAGAAAACTGTGACAAAGAGACCAGTGGGAAGCAAGTCTGTGTAAGAGGTAATGGAGGGATAAAACAGGACTGAATTTAGGCCCTTTAGCTCTAACCACTCTGTTCTACCTTAGACTTCAAGACATAATCAATTTTTTTGTATTTTGTATTTCTTGCCTTTGTTTTTAATATAAAATTTAATTATAACAGAAAAATATTTTTTAAATGACTGATATTTTTATTTATTTTTAACTTTTATTTTAAGTTCAGGGGTACATGTGCAGGTTTGTTACATAGGTAAACTTGTGTCATGGGGGTTTGTTGTGCAGATTATTTTATCACCCAGGTATTAAGTCTAGTACCCATTAGTTATTCTTCTGGATCCTCTCCCTCTTTCCACCCTCCACCTTCTGATATTCCCCAGTGTGTGTTGTTCGCTCTGTGTGTCCATGTGTTCTCATTGTTTAGCTCCCACTTATAAGTGAGAACATGTGGTATTTGGTTTTCTGTTCCTGTGTTAGTTTCCTAAGGACAGTGGCCTCCAGCTCCATCCATGTCTCTGCAAAGGACATGACTTTGTTCTATTTTATGGCTGCATGGTATTCCATGGTGTGTATGTACCACATTTTCATTATCCAGTCCATCATTCATGGGCATTTTGGTTGATTCCATGTCTTTGCTATTGTGAAGAGTGCTAGTTGCAGTGAATATAAGCATGCATGTGTCTTTATAATAGAACAATTTATATTCCTTTGGGTATATATCTAGTAATGGGATTGCTAGGTTGAATGGCATTTCTGTCTCTTGGTCTTTGAGGAACTGCCACACCGTCTTCCACAATGGTTGAACTAATTTACATTCTCACCAACAGTGTATAAGCATTTCTTTTTCTCCACAACCTCACCAGCATCTGTTATTTTTTTTTTTTGACTTTTTAATAATATTCATTCTGACTGGTGTAACATGGTATTTCATTGTGATTTTGATTTGCATTTCTCTAATGACCAGTGATGTTGAGCTTTTCTTCATCCAGGGCTTGTTGGCCACATGTAGGTCTTCTTTTGAAAAGTGTCTGTTTATATCCTTTACCTACTTTTTAATGGGGTTGTTTTGTTTTTCTTGTAGATCTGTTTAAGTTCCTTATAGCTGCTGGATATTAGACCTTTGTTGGATGCATAGTTTATTCAAAAATTTTCTCTCATTCTGTAGGTTGTCTGTTTACTCTCTTGGTAGTCCCTCTCTCCCTCCCTCCCTCCCTCCCTCCCTTCCTTTCTTCCTTCCGAGTTTTGTTCTGTCACCAGGCCCCAGGCTGGAGTGCAGTGGAACAATCTTGGTTCACTGCAATCTCTGCCTCCTGGGTTCAAGCAATTCTCTTGCCTCAGCTCCCCAAGTAGCTGGGACTACAGGCGCATGCCACCATGCCCAGCTAATTTTTGTATTTTTAGTAGAGACGGAGTTTCGCCATGTTGGACAGGATGGTCTCGATCTCTTGACCTTATGATCCGCCCGCCTCAGCCTCCCAGAGTGCTGGGATTACAGGCGTGAGCCACTGTGTTCGGCCTCTCTTGATAGTTTCTTTTGCTGTACAGAAGCTCTTCAATTTTATTAGATCCCATTTGCCAATTTTTGCTTTTGTTGTTGCTTTTGGTATCTTTGTCATAAAATCTTTGCCCATGTGTATGTCCTGAATGGTATTGCCTAGGTTATCTTCCAGGGTTTTTATAGTTTGGGGTTTTACATTTAAGCCTTTAATCCATCTTGAGTTTAATTTTTATATGTGATATAAGGAAGGAGTCTAGTTTCAGTCTTCTGCATATGGCTAGCCAGTTATCACAGCATGATTTATTGAATAGGTAATCCTTTTTCCACTGTCTGTCATTGTCACAGATCACATATTTGTAGTATTGTGGTCTTATTTCTGGGTTCTTTATTCTGTTTCCTTAATATATGTGTCATTTTTTTTGGTATCATTTCCATGCTGTTTTGGTTACTGTGGCCCTGTAGTATAGTTTGAAGTCACGTAGTATGATGCCTACAGCTTTGTTCTTTTGCTTAGGATTGCCTTGGCTATTTGGGCTCTTTTTTTGGTTTCATGTGAATTTCAAAATAGTTTTTTCTAGTTCTGTGCAGAATCTCAAATGATAGTTTTAATAAGAATAGATAATTGAATCTATAAATTGCTTTGGGCGGTATGGCTATTTTAATGATATATGTGTGTATATGTGTAAATAGATACATATTTTTGAGATGGAGTCTTGCTCTGTTGCCCAGTGGCGCTATCTTGGCTCATTGCAACCTCTGCCTCCCAAGTTCAAGTGATTCTCCTGCCTCAGCCTCCCAAGTAACGGAGATTGCAGGTATGTGCCACCATGCCCAGCTAATTTTTGTAGTTAGTAGAGAAAGGGGTTTCACCATGTTTGCCAGGCTGGTCTCGAACTCCTGACTTCAAGTGATCCACCCGCCTCAGCCTCCCAAAGTGCTGGGTTTACAGACGTGAGCCACTGTGCCTGACCTCATTTTAATGATACTAATTCTTCCTATCACTGAGCATGGAATGTCTTCCCATTTCTTTATGTCATCTCTTATTTCTTTGAGCGGTATTTTATAGTTCTCTTTGTAGAGATCTTTTCCTCCCTAGTTTGCTGTCATCCATTGTTTTTTATTCTTTTGCAGCAGTTGTGAATGGGAGTTAGTTCCCGATTTGGCTCTTGGCTTTACTCTTGCTGGTGTATAGGAATGCTAGTGATTTTTGCACATTGCTTTTGTATTCTGAGACTTTACTGAAGTTGTTTATCAGCTTAAGAAGCTTTGGGGCTGAGGCTATGGGGTTTTCTAGATATAGGATCGTGTCATCTGCAAACAGGGATAGTTTGACTTCCTCTCTTCCTATTTGGGTGACCTTTATTTCCTTCTCTTGTCTGATTGCCCTTGCCAGGCCTTGCATTACTATGTTGAATAGGAGAGGTGAGAGAATGCATCTTTGTCTTGTGCTGGTTTTCAAGGGGAATGCTTCCAACTTATGCCCATTCAGTATGATGTTGGCTGTGGGGTTTTCATATATGGCTCTTACTATTTGAGGTATGTTCCTTCAATACCTAGTTCATTGAGAGTTTTTAACATGAATGGACATTTAATTTTATTGGAAGCCTTTTCTGGGTCTATTGAGATAATCATGTGGTTTTCATCTTTAGTTCTGTTTATGTGATGAATCACATTTATTGATTTGTGTATGTTTAACCAACCTTGCATCCCAAAGACAAAGCCTACTTGATTATGGTGGGTAAGGTTATTTATATGCTGCTGGATTTGGTTTGCTAATGTTTTGTTAAGGACTTTTGCATTGGTGTTCATCAAGGATATTGGCCTAAAGTTTTCTTTTTTTGTTGTATCTCTGCCGGGTTTTGGTACCAGAATGATGCTGGCTTCATAGGATGAGTTAGGGAGCATTCCCTTTTCCTCAGTTTTTTGGGGTAGTTTCAGCAGGAATGGTATCAGCTCTTCTTTGTACATCTGCTAGAATTCAGCTGTGGATCCATCTGGTCCTGTTTTTTTTTTGTTGTTTTGTTTTGGATGGTAGGATATTTATTACTGCCTCAATGTCAGAGCATGGCTAAAATTTTAAAGGCTGTACTAAGAAGTCTTCCCTGGAAGTCTTCTCTTAACTTCCACAATTGGTAGAGTCTCTACATGTTCTTTTATCATACTTTCAATTTTTTTTTCCTATTTGTTTCTATGTCTTATTTGTCTTACATTAGTGCCCAGCAAAATAACTACTGTTTTTGATTGTAGCTACTACTAGATAGAAGTAGTTATTTGAACAAGTTGTCCTCTTACATGTCATACTTGGTTTTTTCCTATTTGTGTACCTTTGTTCATGGTCTTTCTCTTTTCTAGAATATTCTTACCCCCTTCTCTATCTACACTTTGGAGTTTAAACTTTTCTTTCATAATCTCATTCAAATCTCACTTCTTCCACAAAGTTCCCTTTGGATGACTCTAACGTTATTTCCTCATTTGAGCTCTTGTAGCATTTAAGTTGTGTTCTGTTTAGTTTCTGCTGTCTTATATTTTCTATCTTTATGTATTTTGTGAATATGGTATTCTGCCTTTTTGAGATAGGTAAGATTTCTCATATATCAATATATGTGGTTTATTCATAAGAAATATTACTGCTGATGGTCATTTACTCGTTTTTAAATATTCCTGAAGACAACTTGACTATAAACATAGTTTATTCTCCTCTGGAAGACATAAGACCTGAGTTTAGAAATTAAATTGCTAATATTTTAATTCTATAAATTAAAGCAGAAAAATTTATATTTTTTTCCTCTAGAATTTTCAAAAGCCAGAATGAAAGAAAATTTAAAATAATTCTTTTATGTAAAATCCTTTAGAAGACTTATATTTAAAATGCTTTAGTTAAAGGGAAAATTTTTCATTTATTCCTCATGTTAAGTAGTAGTAAGTTCTTTGCCAGAATGAAGTCTTATTTTCTTCAGAATCACTCAAAACATTTGGGCCTCTTCTGTTTTGTAATCCTATTAAATTTATCCATGAATTAAAGCCTAATTATGCATAGTTCGTGAACTCTAGATATTGAGTATTTGATGTACAACAGAAATTTACTTATTTAACTTATTGGAACATTATGAAATGTTGAAAATAGTTTGTGTTGGGATTAAGAAAAAAATTCTGTTGGGAATTAACTAAATTTAATTGTTTATGTATTTTCCTTTAGCCCATATGTTGTAAAGTACTATGGCAGTTATTTTAAGAATACAGACCTCTGGATTGTTATGGAGTACTGTGGTGCTGGCTCTGTCTCAGACATAATTAGATTACGAAACAAGACAGTAAGTATTTTAAAATTGTTTTGCTAATCTCATTTCTAAAGATCATATTTTAGCATCTGACTAGTTGATATTTTGTTAGAAAGAAAATAATAGCGAAAAAAGAAAAGATTTTAAGTGGTGTAAAGATATCTAGTAGGAGGTGTGAGAACCAGCCACATATCTTTCTGTGACAGATTTAGGAACTACATGATTATTTAATTTATTTATTAGAATAATTTCTGGTGTGTCACAGAGTACTTCTCTTCTTCATTTGGAACAGTGTATATGTGTTGTTTAACAATGTGAGTTTTATAAATTATGGCTAGAATTTTATTTAAAGTTTATGATATTCATAGTATTTACTTAAATTTTCTGTATTATAATTTATGGCTGGTAATATTTGAAGAAATTACTTGTTTTTGAATTTTTAAAAATAATCGAAAACATTTTTGTATTTTCGCAAATATTGGCAGGATGTGTGAAAGTGATAAATATATAAACATTTCTATAAATTCAGCTTAGTGAAATGTATTATTTCATGTAAGCCCTTTATGATTGTTTTAACTCTACAAGTAGAAGTGCTATTTACAGAATTGTTTACTTTAGGCTAGTAATGCCTCTAGTTTATTTGGACAGTTTGTATGGACCAAAGTGACCTTTTTTTCTTGAATCAGTGAAATAATTTGTAATTCTGTATTAGTAACACTATTATATATTGTCAGCCACGTTTCAGTAAAATACGTTCAGAAAAAATTGTTAACTGCTTCAGTCAATTTGTGGTTAACCAGAATCATTTTAAAGTTTGATTTCGGAAGTACATTGTAAGTTTAATTTACTATTTTCTCTAAATAGGATTTCTTTTAAGGGAAGTGAAACAGAAATTGAAATAATCCCTGTTTTGACAGACTAGATTAAGTGATCTGTGACATTCTAATTATATGTTTTAGAATTTCTATGATGCTCCACTAGCGTTTATGTAAATCAGATGACTCTTGAGTGGCGGAACAGTGCTTCTGTGGAAAATAATTGTATTCCATTTTGTGAAGTGTTTTAAAATTATTTCAGGGCTAAACTCAGTGCATTTGGTATTTAAAGTTATCAAGTAGGAATACGAAGTAAAAGCCTGTGAAGCCGAAAATTTTAAACCTCTCTGTTTTCTTGGTTTTAAGTGTTAATGTTACGGTTTTGAGTAGATGCGAAGTGTTTGATCCAAGTAGTTTAATTCTCGTTGCCAATAATTACAACTGTGAAGATATACTATGGTTTTTAAAGATAGGTATAGATGAGATCATTATCTTCAGGTATAGGTATAGATGAGATCAAACTCTTCATCAGTTGTCAAAGAGAAGATTTTACCCATTCATATTCTTTCTTATAAGACATAGTCCACTGAGCATGCCGGGGAGTTGTACACTTGGAATAGTGTAGTTGTTACTCTTACACAACAGGTACCCTGGGTTCAGGGGTGGCATGGTAAGAGTCTAATATCCAGATATGAAAAGGAACCCAGAACTGCACAAGAGATTGATCAGGAGCTGCAGGTTATCGTTTCTGAGTGTTGCCTTGATGACACTTCCTATTAAATCACAGGAATATTTGTATCTTTCTTTTCAAATGCAAGGACGTTTTTTCTTCATTTATTTATTATCTGTAAAGAGTACCATTATTGTTAAGGTTAGTAATACAAGGATATGTATTATCTCATTTAAAAAAATATCTTCACATTTTAAGCATTTGTTCACTGGAGAGATACTCTTGATTATCTGAATTTCAGACGCCTGACTATTTCTGATTGACTTGCTTTCAAAAATGTGACCAGTGTAACAGTGGTCTTTGATTAAACAGGGTAAAACTCACTCCAGTAATTGTTTTCATGGTCATAAAACAATCTTTTCCTAAGAATATGGCAATTTGTTTTTAAGAACTTGTATGGTCTTTTGTTTCTTGTGATACACTTTGTTTCTTTAAATTCTGTATACATTTTAAATAGCACAAGGAATTCTTGTGATTTTATATTGTTATTTTATATCACAGATGTTTATATTTACTCATCTATATATGCTTTTTATTGTTCTTTATTTCTTTCTGGATTTCTCGATTGCCTAAAGAATGTCCTTTAGTATTTCCTTATGTGTGGGCATGATGATGACAAGATCTGTTCTTTTTTTATTTTTTATTGGTGAAAATGTTATTTTACTTCTTGTTTTCCTTTTTCCTTTCTTGAAACAGGTTCTCACTCTTTTGCCCAGGCTGGAATGCAATGGTGTGATCACAATTCACTGCAACTTTGAACTCCTGGGCTCAAGGGATCTTCTAGTCTTAGCCTCCTGAGTAACTAGGACTTCAGGAGCATGTCCCCCTGGCTTGCTAATTAAAACGAATTTTTTTTTTTTGTAGAGATGGGGTCTAGCTATGTTGCCCAGGCTGGTCTTCAATTCCTGGTCCTAAGCAATTCTCCTGACTTGGCTTTCCATAGTGCTAGGAATACTGGTGTAAGCTACCATGCCTGACCCCTCACTTCATTTCTGAACAGTATATTTTTGGCTAAAGAATTCTAGGTTAGTGATTCCTTTTAGCCTTTTAAAGATCTTATTCCAGAAATCTTGTAGTATTTTATATCCCAGAACATAATTTATTTTTGTTTTTGAGGCAGGTTCTTGCTCTGTCACTCAGGTGTGAGTGCAGTGGTATGATCATGGCTCACTGTAGCTTTGACCTCCTGGGGTCAAGTGATTATCCACTTCAGCTTCCTGAGTAGCTGGGACCACAGTCATGCACTAACATGCCTGGCTAATTTTTAAAATTTTTTTGAAGAGACAGAGTCTCACTTTGTTGTCTAGGCTTATATCCTAGAACATATTAATTATAGTCTAATTTTGTCTGCTAACTTTTTAAATGTTACTCTCCTGTGGGTCTCTTTCTATTTTATATTGTTTCTCTTGTTTTTTATTGTTTTCGTCTATGCCTGGTTATCTTTGATAGTGTGCTAGACATTGCATAATATGTGATAGAGTTTATTTGAATTTCTGAATGATGATGTCTTTTACATAAGGTTTTTGTTTGTTTCTAACTGGTGGCTAGAACTAGCAATCCTGGATTATTTTAATTAGGGTTAGAGATCATTTGAATCTGGGCTTTAGTTCAGTTATGTGCTCTATAATGATGTTTCCATCAATGATGGACTGCATATAGAATGGTGGTCCCATAAGGTTATAGTATCGGAATTTCACTGTATCTTTTCTATGCTTGAACGTGTTTTGGTACACAAATATGTGTCATTGTGTTACTGCTGCCTACAGCATTCTGTACAGTAACATGCTACACAGGTTTGTAGCCTAGGAGCAAAAGGCTATGCCATCTAGGATTATGTAAATACATTCTGTGAAATTGCCTAATGATGTCTTTTTTGGAATATATCCATGTTGTCAAGTGACACATGACTGTACTTTTGACAGTTGATTCTCCTTTACATCTAGGATATGGTCCATTGATATTCTAGGGCTTCTCAGTTTCTTGGTAGGTTTTGATTTCCAGTGTTTAACCTTCTCGTCTTGTAAGTCAGTCAGAAGATCTGCTTTGCTTCTTAGCCTCTTGACTTCTGTTCCATAATTGATAGATGCCTCTTGAGGAAAAGCAGCCCTTATTGCTAGGCTCACCTCTTTCTTTTTTTCTTATATTTTGTTTTCAGACAAAAGGCACTGCTATTCTGTCTTCATTAGCTATCAGATAGACTTTTAAATGTATTTTTCCAGACATTTTAGTTCTTTCAATGGGAGAGTAGTCTGAATTATCTAGTTTATCATGACCAGAAATGGAACTCTTTCTAATAGCATAAGTTTTGTTATTAGCAGTTCTGTTCTGCTATGAGTAAACATATACAGAGCTGCCCCCAAAGGCCAAGCGAGCCGAGAGGCTGAAGAAAGAGGCTGACAAATCCAGTTTCCCATAAAGAAACATTTATTAGAGACTTACTAAGAGAAATAATGTTTTGGGTGGCCAAGAGGTGGTATATTCCCACATCCACCCTACCCTAAATATCCTTTATATAGCAAGCTCCTTTGGTAAAACATGTGCAGCTGGTTACACCTCAGACTTTCTTGCTACTGGTGACTACTGGAGAGGTTAGATAAACACCTTTATGAGGGGTTATCTATGCTCCAGGCGTTGTTTAAAGACCTTGCTCTGCTGGAGCCAAACTCCTGTCATTGTGGTGGTTTTACTTTGGAATGGTGTCACTCTTGACTTGCAACAGGCTGGTTTTTTTTATCTACCTCTTTAATCTAGCTGGAGTTTATTTCTGTATATGATATGAGACAGGGATATACAGCACTTTTATTTTTTTTTTCTGGTGTGAAAATCTAATTGTCCTAACACAATTTTCTATTCCTTTTTAACTGGCTTATACGCCTGTCCTACTAAGGTTTTATATATATTTGGTCTCTCTGTTCTAGCAGAGATTTATTTGTCTGCTTCTGCAACAGAAATATGTTTTTGATTGTATGGTGGCATGTTTGATATTTGGGATGCAATTCCCTTGTCTTTGTTTTCCTTGATCTCTCATATAAGTTTTATTTTTTAATTTATTTTATATTATATTTTATTTCTTTGAGACTGAATTTCGCTCTTGTTGCCCAGGCTGGAGTGCAATGGCATGATCTTGGCTCACTTCAACCTCCGCCGCCCAGGTTCAAGTGATTCTTCTGCCTCAGCCTCCTGAGTAGCTGGGATTACAAGTGTCTGCCACCACACCCAGCTAATTTTTATATTTTTAGTAGAGATGGGGTTTTGCCACCTTGGCCAGGCTGGTCTCGAACTCCTGACCTTCAGTTATTCTCCTGCCTCGGCCTCCCAAAGTGTTGAGATTACAGGCATGAGCCACCATGCCTGGCCTGATACACGTTTAGAATAAGTTGTCAAGCTCCACAAAAAGTTTTGCTGGGTTTGTGATTGGATTTAACTCATAAATTGTGTTGACTGATATTGTCTAGTCCATGATCATAGAATATCTTTGTGTTCAGTTC